TGGCTTAATATAATACACAGAGACCACGAAGAATAGAAGCAGTTATCAGCAAATGATTCCAGGAATTTCTGAAAATTCCATGCTTAGCAAGTATGTTTTCTAGTAGGTATCAGGGTAGTTGAAGTTACCAATTTCTTAATGGTTCTCTGATTAACTTTTTCCAGAAAGCATCACCCTCGCCTGGTTCAGAGAGGGTTAGGGTTACTTCCAGGATAAAGTGGAATCAAGTAGAAGCAGAAATTTTCTCCCCTTCATTTCCCATGGCAGCCTCTCAATTTCCCCCAAAATAATAGAGAATAAAAAAGTAAGGTTGCCTACCTGTAACTGTCATTCTTCATGTGGTCATCTGTGCCTGCACAAATATGGGTGCTGCACTTGCACAGTGCCTCTGGGAAGAGTCTTCTGGCTAAGCCTAGAACTTTTGGCGGAAATCCTGCCACTATATATATATCCTGCCCCCTAATATAAATACTTCCCACCTTCTCTTTTGTGAAATGTAGGGTTTAGGAAGCGGAGGTGAAAAAGAAGAAAAGTTTTAGTCAGAAGCAAACAGTTAAAGCTAAATGGAGAGAGAGCACAAGTCTGAGGTAAATCGTAGGGAAGAATATTGGAGATCCCAAGACACTGAGTGGGGAGAACTTCTGTAAGCAGAGCTTTTTCTCTTGAGGAAGTCAGAACTTGGATCCAACCTTCTAAACACAATGCTTTTATTTCTTTTGCTAGCCTACATATTGTAGGGATCAGGTTCATTCTTTTGATTTTCTGTGCAGGGGCATACATTTTGATGCATAAAGCTTCTTCTTTTCAGTTTTGTCTATTCTTGAACAAATTATATCCCTCCATTTCAATCATGAGAGTTGTTAGGTCTCAGTTAAACCTATGAAATTGTTTATATATTTACTGTACTAAGAGTTTGAGTTCACTTTGTTGAATTCCTTTATTCATTAGTACAGACATTGAAAGTTCTGGATAATATGCTCCAATGTCACTCCAGCCATTTTAATGCAGGGTTTCCAGGCACTCTTCAACTCCTCCAGTTTCTCCTGTAGCACCCCAGTCTACATGCATAGACTTTACCCTGAAGAGATATTAATGTTTAACACATGGATATCAGTAGGGAAGCAGAATGAAGAAGCTATGAAACTTTCAAGAGACAGCTGCCCCTTTCTTTTTGTGGGCCATTTAATGTTTGAAAGGGAATGGTAAGATATTTTTAAGATCTATTCAAATTATGTAAGTAGAGCTTCTTGATACAGGGGGTTTGGGTATATGGCCTGGACTCAAGGCACTGGGTATAATATCCCATATTGAAGTGTTTCTTTTCCCCTCTTGGCTGTCCCTCTCTATGCTTCACTGAAAAATCCCCCTAGAATACCATGTGAGGTCTCTACCAGAACACCAACCATTCCTGTTCTTTACATGCATGCATTATGTGACCTTCACTTTATAGTTTGAATAATTCAAAAAGAGTATTAGAAGAAAACACCTACCTGTTCTCTTTAGAGTTTAAAATCCAGTTCTGCTAGTGCTATTGTCTAGATGCAAGAGATAACATTAATTTTCTACATCCTTATTAACCATGCAACAAAACTCTGTTGAACTATCTGTGAAGGCAAGCAATTCTTGTAAGGAAGGCAACATATTTTACTTAAAATGAGGGAAAGCTGTATTTATTTGTTGGTGCCATACGACTTCTATGTCATACCTGGTTTTTGAGACAGAACTCTTGTGCCAAAGATTAGGTTTGTTGCAAACATCTGAATATAGGGCTGATAGTAGCATTCCAGAAACAAAACAAAAATGTAAATTTGGTTGGAAACAATTCTATTTAAACTATTATAATTATTGTTGAGTTTTAACATTGTGTTTTTAGAATGTGTTATTTTAGCAATGTGAGCCACCTAGAGATGCCATAGGTAGAGTAGGTAATTATAAATATTTTAAATAAATAAATCATGATTACTACTATTTGATCTTTGGTGGTTCAGCTTTCATATATTGTAACTACCATTCCTTTTAACAATCAACCTTTTGTACAGATCTCAGAACAGAATCATATGATAACTTATGTCTTACTGTTTCCTTTTCACAATTCTACAAAGATGAGTTTTATAAGATGGCTGCATCGCTGAATTAATCCATTAAAAGTTTTAGAATAAGGTCAGTCATATCTCAGTTGTTCCTTACTGAGAAATTTCCAAATTTTTTGAAAGGGTTACATCCCTTTCCACAAATGACGATTGAACCCTAAAAATAAAACACAATTGTTCACATATATGTAATATGCTTTTACACATATTTAGTTAATATAACTGAATAAAGCACAATTTAGACTATTATGTTACAGTCTTGTTCTATCAGTTGCCTACTGGAGTTATGCATAGGATTAGAAAAAGGGCATATACTTTGTATGAAGAAGGTTCCACTTCAAGACTCCAGCATCTCTAGTTAGATGCCACTACAGGAGATATTATAAGGTTGCTATGACAATACTGCACTAGACAGCCAGACTAATGCCATATGTTGTTATAGGAATATATGAATTTTTTAAAAAATGAGAAAAATTAAACTAGTTGCCAACTGGTCAGGCTCACAAAGAAGACAGACCTTCATTTGCTTAATGAACAAGATGAATTATGTTCAGTAAAGCACAGTCCGGGAACTGAGAAATGGTCATTTTGTTAGCAGCTAGTAGCCTGTACAGCCAGCAGATGGGGCTAGACATTGTTTGTTAGGTGAATGGTAGGCTGTTAAAGAACAAAATGCTACCATTGTTTGAAGAGCTTCACTCCAAGGTACCCAGTTTAAATGTTTGTCTTCAGAGACAGCAAACAGTAAAGTAGAATAAGATAGAATAAGATATCTTAATGGATTAAAATAGCAATAATTTTCCCTCTTGAAAAATAAGAATGCTGCTTCAAAATTGATTTGACAACTAATGAGTGTTCCATGCTCAGTTCAGCACAATATGTCATTTGTTTTATATTTCCCATCATATTCCACAAAACACACTATACCAGCATATAAACAAACATATGCAAAATATTTGAATTTTCTCAGAGATCCTGCAATTTTATAACACTTTGTTATTTTAAAATCTATTTATGCA